TGAACTTAAACAATGTTTTACTCTTTAAAATTATTATGAGTCGTTTCAAAAAATATAAAGCAATGCAATACTTGTTCTACGTTCATTAAAGTTTGAAAAATATGTTTTATATCCAAAAATAACAACAAAAAAAAGGAAAATATATTGACTCCAAAACATTTTAATTTTGTATAGAAACTTAAATGAATATAACAACTTCCATCTCATAATATTACTAAATATCAGAATTACAGTGGATTATTAAATTTTTTTTTTAATATTTTGAAATGTAAACGAGCGTCTCTTGTCTGAAAGCAAATTTTTATACCAGGAGAAGCTTCTTTCAACGTCTACTGATGTTATTGGTGCGTACTTGAAAAAAGACGGTCACACTTACTGACAATTCTTCTTCAATTTGAAAAGATGTTGCTTCACCTGTTAATATCCTAGAAATTTTCTTCATTGTTTGGAAGCCAGTGGAATAATAAAAAATTATAAAAAATAATAAAAATTAGAAAAATTTAACAAAAAATTTAAAAAATGCTTTAAAATGCAAAATACGCCCCAAAATTTTAAAGAAAATGCCCTATAAATCTCAAAAAATGCTCTAAAGGACAAAGAATGTCCAAAAATGCAAATGTCATCAAAATCCGGGCCTTAGTTACGACTGATGTGCATTGAAAGTTGTTTTAATAACTGCTAAGTTTGACAAAATACTTCATACCATTAGATTTTTTTTCGTGATTTGCTACGCGTTTATGTTTTTTTAATTTAATTATTTTAATTTGCTACCATGGTTTTGAAAATTGTTTTATTATTTAAGGATTGTAGTTAAACTACTCGATCGATTTTCATATTGCTTTGGAATTTTAGAGAATTAATGTGGCCAATAAAAGTCTAACATTTATATATATATTTTTTATGTTTAAATCCTAAATAAAGTCGATTTTTGCTTCTTTTTTTGTTCAGATTGTCGCCACTTAGTGAAAACATTTTTCTGATTTTTTTTGTTTTGTTCTAACCATAACTACATTCATACATTATCGTTCGTTTGGTCTGTTCCAAATTATACAGTGTGGGGCTGGGACAGCCTGGTTGACAGGGTACTGGGCCCATGTCCAAGGGGTCGTGGGTTCGATCCCCGTCGGCCGAACACTCGGAGTAAATGATGACTGATGCACGTTAAACCTGTTGAGTCGCTAAGTACTCCATGTTCCCATAACAAATCAATACCTCTGAGGGTACTGAACCAGGAGTTGTCATCTGGATTGGTTCAAAATTACAAGGCTACGGAGTTGAACATTTATTGTTGTAAGCCCAAAATTGGGTCGGCTGTCCAATGACGGATATGAAATAAAATAAAATTTTACAGTATGAGCCGCGATGTCTACAGGGGATAGAGCGTTCGCCTTCCAATGAGGTGAACTGGGTTCGAATCCACATCCGGCTTGCAACGACCACAGTGCGGACTTGAAATATACTTAGTGGCGGACGGATCGTGGGTTAGAGTCCTTTTGCCGTCAGACTAACCGTGGGAGGTTCTCGCGGTCTTCCTGTCCATGTAACGAAAATGCGGGTTAGTTCCATCAAAAAGTCTTCCACGAAGGCAAAATTTGTCCCAATCCAGGAGTTTCCTTTGTCTTCTGGATTGGGTTCAAAATGACAAGGCTACGGAGTTGAGCATTAGAAGCCGTAAATCCAAAAATTGGGACGGCTGTTCAACGACGGTTATAAAATAAAATAAAATTACACAGTATGGAGATTCGTCCATCAGTGATCGACGTGCATTGACCATCTTCGCCAATAGGCTAAACAATCCCTTAAATATAAAATTAATAAATGAAATATATTTAAAAAACAACCCTGCTTTTTTCCTTCTGGGTCGATATTTTCATAAATTCTTGTATCATTTGGGAAATTGAAATCAATTATTCTCAAACAAAAAGAGTAATAATAAAAGAAAACTTGGAGAAATTTTTTGTTTTGTTTCCATGCTCGTTTTGGCGACTCAGTGTAAATTTTCGATAACAACTGCTCAGGTAAAGTATTCGTTGATAACTTATCGCTGAAAGTTTTTCCCTAACTAGATTTTTTTTGTTCGAATTATTATGTCGTCATTCTCGCTCACAGCTAGATAACTTTACCTCACATTTCATTCTTATCATGAATATTCAATAACCAAGGATTCGAAAACCTGATTACATAAAAAGTATCGATTTTTTAGTTAAAAAGAACTTTCTTATATGCAATTTATAAAATACAAAAATTATTCTGAAAATGGCGCAAGAAGTTAATATTAAAACAAAAAAATAATTTTGTGAAAATGAAAAGCATTTGTGGTCTAATTTTTTAATATTAAAAAATTTACTGCAATGCAGCATTATCTGGGCTCTTAAAAATTTGTAACAGCTGAGAAAAAGACAATAATTTTGATAATTTTCATCTAGGTGGGAAAATATTCTATATTCGGGGTTTACAAAACAGGTGATCCACGGAACTCAAAGGTCCAGATGGAAAAATTACTGGGATTTTAAAAGTTAGGATTTTTTTTTTTTTTTTAAACGAAAAATGATTTCTTAAACGTATAATTTTATTTTTTCTCATGTAATTATGAAATATTTCAAGTAAATTGCCAGTTAAAAATAGAAAAATTTAGCGTATTTATATATATTTTTCTAATGAATTGAATGGATTATGAAAGAGATTTGTACTTTTAAAAAAACAGCATTTATATTTATGCCATTGTGCGTTTTAATTCGAAATACTACTTATTAAATTCAACAATGAAGGAAAAAGTTTCCTTGACAACTATACTCAATGTTATATTCTTTTTCATTTCAACGAAACTATAGATGAACTTACTATTCATTTAATATTTTTTTCCATTTTATATGTATCCATATTGTTCCCCATGATCTGCAAAAGTTCATGACAATGTGTATTTTTTCTAATAAAATATTTTATGTTGCGTAAAGCTATTACTTTTTTTTAAAAAATTTTTACAAAAAAGAAGAAAATAAAATGCAAGTAGTATTTTTGTTAAGGCAACTTATTAATGTTTATTTACTACATCTAAATCAGACTTGCTCCAAAACACACTGTTTGAATTATTAGGTCAAGAATAATTTTTTTCGACAATAATTATCGGCGAAGCGTCATGAAAGCTTCTCTTTCGTAAACAAAGATGACGTACTTAACCTATCTGAATGAAAAGATAATTACAATATCTAAACTCAGATAACTTTTTTCTTTCTTTTTAAAATTGTCGCTTATTTTATAAGAAACTTGTTCGATTAATTTATATTGAAATAAATTGGCCTCAATTTTATATTTTATCGATTTCATATATTATTACAACTGGCGTTGAAGAATTTTGAAATTAAATTTGGGTTTAAGACAAACAATGGTCAAATCCAGTAATTTTGTACCAAAGTTAGAAGAAAAGGAATTCGTGGATCAAGCATCATGATCCTTTTTTTTTATTATTATAACAGTTGTTGAGCAGTCAACCCAATTTTTTGGGCTAACAACTAACCTTGTAATTTTGAACCCAAACCTGAAGACAAGGGAACTCTTGGCTCAAGTATTGGGAGAATTTACCGTCGTGGTAGTCTTTCTGATGGAACTAACCCACATTTGTGTTACATGGGGAGGAAAACCACAAATACCTCCCATGGCTAGCCAGTGGGTCTAAAAAAATAATCTTCTTTACTTTCTTTTTATCACTGATTCGAATCACATGACTTATCCAATTCATGCTTCTGCATTTAATAATATCGGGTTGTTTATAAATCTCTCTTGTACAGTTCAAAGTTAAATCTCCACTCCGCAAAATCTTTCTCTCAAATATTGCGATGCAATTATCCTCCAGTTTTGTCATTCTCCAAGCTTCAGAAGCATATGTCAAGACTGGTCTGACAAGAGTTTTGTAAATTAAGAACTTATTGAGCCAATATTCAAGAATCTTGGCTCAATAATAGTTCAAACGGCCGTTATTTTTCCGATTCAACAGATATTTTATATCCATTATTCAGTCAATATAGGCTCTATATTGGCCAATGTAGGCCCTATTCTAGGACCAATATTTATAAAATCTATACATCCCAATATTGGTCCCTCGATGCTCAAGTTCTTATTGAGCCAAAGTGGGGCCAAGGTAAAATTGTTGCTAGGCTATATAACAATATATGTGTGTGTATGCGTGCGTATATTTAAGCTATCCGATGGTCGAATTTATAAAACCAAGCAAAATAATTTTTAAAAATAATAAGTTTTATGTAACGTGTCATGATGATTTGGATTGTACAAAATAAATTTTGTATCAACATAGATAACAAAATTTTAAATGCTAAAATCTAAATTTTGAGAAGTGGGTTAAGAAGGTTGAAAGATCGTAAGTACGTGAAAATCCGATGAATAGATTAAAAGTTATTCAGGGTATTTCGTTTATTTTTTTTTGCATGTCATGTTGTCATTTTTTAGACTGTTTTGCACATGTCCGTTACAACTTTGCAACTCCTATTTTTGCAGTAGTTAATGAAACATTAAATAAATCGTTTACAGAATCGAAAAATAAATTCTCGTGAAGATTCCACAGATTAAGATACTATAAACGCCATTTCATCGTCATTTTTCCTCACTCTTTTCTTTCTTTCTTTTTTGATAAGATATGATTGGTAAAAGCTTCTAAATTTTTGGAAGATTGAGAAATATTTTGGAATGTTAATGAAGTATGATTTCCATCAGCACAATTTCAAAAACGCCGTTCGTGTTAAGATTAATAACCATTTTTCATTCACAGTAAAAAATGTCAATAAATAATTTTGTCTTCAGTTTTTTTCTTCATAATTATCAATTTCATAAAGTAAAAACGAACATGTACAACAAAATTGATAAATAGAAAAACCCATAGTACGTCTAATAAGCCCTACTTTTGAACATTATTATTCCATTGAAAGAATAAAAAACAATTGTAATTTAAAATCTAAGAAACATCAAATAATTAAAAAAAAGGAACAATAAACAGAGAAAAAAAAATCTTTATTAGAAAAAAAAGGAAAAATAAATAATAAACCACTGCAGCGAATCAGGCACGCACGTTAATAAAATGTAGATTTAACCCAGAAAGTATACATTTCATATACCAGAAAGTGTGCTTACATTTTCATATACGCTTTCTCTGACTGGTCTGGATAGTACGTTTTATTATTCTAAAAGGAGACCATTATTAAAGTATACTACTAATATACCAAATTTCAACACAAAGTGCATTTTCCAAGTAGTGTCCTTTTTTAGCATGCAAAAATCAGATCAAATGTTATAAGTTTTTTTTCTCATTTATTTAGTACACTGTACACAAAAAATAACTGTTGCACACGTTTATCTTTTCGTAATATTTTTCAACAACACACTAATTAGTATACTTACATCCAAGACAAAAAAGTGTAAATGGTTAAAAAGAAAAATTCTATAAAAACATTTATTTATAAGTTAACACTCTTTTTTTTTTATCTTCACATGCAAGGTCATATTTGTAGAAGATCAGACTTGTTCACTTTGATTTTCGTCTCTCGCATCTTTTCGTTCCGTTGGTACTTTAATGAGAGTTCCTTCCAAATCAGGTCCCACAATGATCGCACAAGCTAATCTCGATCTGAAAATAAAATTTAAAAATTAAAAGTGCATCTCTAAAATGATCGGGTCATGAATAACTGCTGCAGTGAAGTTGGTAGATATTAACTCAGGTACTTTTTAAAATATTGAAAGGTTAACAAATTAAGGTAGGATTACTTCCACAATGCACAATCTTGAGTAATCTTGCCATAATTGTATTTGCACTTGGATATTTTGAACATACTCTTTTAGCTATTGAAACTTCATGGTTGAGAAAACCATCTTATCTGGTCATCTTAAGATAAACCATGTGGATTTATCTTAATTACCAATGAAGGTGAAACAGAATTTGCCATGAAAAGTTTATTTTATTTTTAAGAACGTTTCTCGTCCACTTATTAAAAGGACCAAATCATGAGAACATTGGGTGGGTGGTAGGGGATATTATTTAAGTCGCGCTAGAGCTGCACTATTGGTCTGGGAAACATCCCTGAGGATGATCCGAAGACATGCCATCGCAATTTTGATCCTCTGCAGAAAGGATGGCTCCTTGGCTTTGGTAGCCCTGCGACCTGTGACCGAAGTCTAGTACTTTACGGTAGAACAGTTTAACGAGGATTGATACCGCGCAATGAAGTTGGAATCATCAGGGGTCTGTTCAGACATTTTGTGAAAGGTCCGTTTTTCGTGAAATTGTGAAAAAATTACTCACATTCTTTCAACCAGGGTCCGCTTTTATGAATTTGGGCAAATAGGGTCCGTTATTGGGAAAAAAAAAACTTTTCCAATGAGTTTTTAAATTGTAAATAGATACAAGATTATGCTCAACACTGTAAAATAATAATTAAAAAAATTATATTTTAAAAAATAAACAACAATTGCTGCTCCTAAATTAGAGATGCAACATACAAATATTTGGTATTCAGCCTATACTGCTGAATATTCATTTCGGACGAATAATGAAAGAATCGTCTGCAGAAGACAAAACTTAATTCGTTTACATCCATCTTTCTTGTTTTCTGCCCTGGAAAGGGTTTATTCGATTAACAAAATAATAATGAAGATAAACAAATTTGTGAAGGGTCCGATTAAAAGAAAAATCATTTTGTGAAGGGTCCGTTTTTAAGTTAAAATATTTTGTGAAGGGTCCGTTTTTATGAAAAGATATTTTGTGAAGGGTCCGTTAACGGACCCAAATTTCTTCTAAACAGACCCCTGATCATAGAAAGCATCGCTTGAAGAAATGGTCCGTTGGAGAGCCAGGAACAGGCAGAGTGTTACAAGTGAACAAAAATAAGTATGTCATTGCTGCCTCAAGTGAAACTAAGAAAAACTACGTGTTCAAATCAGGGATTTATTAGACTAAAAACATAGGGGGAGGAACAATGTTAGACTATAAAATTAAAAAAAAGAAGAAAAAAAAACTAGGCTATTTCTTATAATTTCTGTCTCCTTAAAAACAGTTTAAGGCTAGTATAAACCAATCATTGATAAACAAATCAAATTCTATTCATTTAATGTTAGAGCATGAATTGCTGTGGATCTTAGATACTTAGGACATTTCAAAAAAAAAAGTTAGAAACAAGTGTTTTATAAAAATAAAAATGAGCCGTTTAACATGAAAATAAATTGTGTTAAAATAACAAATTTCTTCTTGGTTTAATTTTTGCTTCTAGATATCTACTTCCGTCCCCTAATCATCATATAGTGAAAAAGTAAAAAAATATGTTGTTTTTTTAAATTTATTTATTTATAAAATGCTAACTTAAATTTTTTTTAAAAAAATCAAGCGTTGAATGGTATGAATAAATTTAGTTATTACAATTGTTGAAAAATAAGTGCTATAACCATTTTAAAATAAACATCTGGTATATGCGATCGCAACGCTCGAATACGCCATCTGGGGATAAGACTGGTTCCATGCTTTTGGCCCTTCCCTTTCCCTCTCCTCCTCTTTTCAGTTGTATGGATGGTGTTTTCGACACTAGGGAGCGCTGCAAGCTGTATGCCACTTATACTTCCGGGTTACTGTTTCCGGTGTATTTTAAAGCCATTTGGCTCACAACGTGATCATTGTGTTAAGATTCTTGCAAACGTGGTGTTTGAATACTTATTACTGAACTTAATCTTGCTCTTCGAACAATATGCTAACACTAACGTAAGATGGTACACGGCTTGCAACACGAACAAACAGTAATAAACAAATGGAAAGAGGCCAAATCAAGACTGCCAAAAAAGCGAGTTATTCAAAATCTAGCAACCATGTCACCTTTTTCAACAATACATCTCTAAATAACTAAGACAAATTTTCACTTCAAACTCACCAGAATTACAAAATAACATTAATATCTTATAAAATACGGCAGATTTGAGCTCAGAAATTATCTAATTTATTTCTTTTATTGATATCAAAATTATCCGTTTGAAAATATCGCCTCACAGAATAACATGTAGTAAGCAGCTGCAAACTTTCTAACCGGAACTAGAGTAGGCGTACAGATCGAGATTGTTATTGTTTAGACTTCTACTGAAAACACCATCCATAGGAATGAACTACAATATTTTTCCTCTTCTTAATATTTTTCGCGTATTTAATTGCTAAAAATATTTTTTTAAATTTCCGTGACGCTTCACTTTAGAACTATGTTTAATGTAGCTTTTCGTTCTATATAGATTCTTCATTTAAAAGTTTTAAATCTATTTGGAAATCAAGACAGAAACTAACGTACCTCCTTCTTCTATGACTCTCCACACGCTAATGGTGAAATCATATAAAGTGTTGCCGTAGGTAGACTTCTGCTCTACGCCATCTGTAGCCTATTTTGATCGCCAACGCAGTATTCCTTTCTATCCCAAAACTGTTAACCCTCGTGTCATTTGGGCTACACGTAAACCATATAACCGTACTTCTTAAATTTGAACGGAAACAGGTGTATTAAGGTTCGGCGTTTCTTAAGAGTGTACTCAAGAAGACAATAATTTAGAAATATTAGAGCGATTTTGCAAAGCATTGGGGTTTTCCAGAATCGCAATTTCAACTTTTCTTGTAGTATCGTTAATGAGTTAGGGTCAAAAGAAACGCTACGCAAAATCTTTCCATTGTGAACTTACAGGTTGTGAATTTCAGGAGCTAGGTCCAAAATATCCATTTCATCTTCAGTGATTTCGTTCTTCAGCTTCTTAAAAGTCTTCTCCTCAAGAATCACGTGACAGGTTGAGCATGCAAGAGTAGCTCCACAAACTCCTGAAAGATAAAGCATTAATAAAGAAACCTTGAAAAAATGATGAAGACTTTACACAATATCTAATCACGTTGATGAGTCTCTTTAACGGAGTGAACTTTGGAGTGCTTGAACTTTATGATCAACGTGAAATAAAAAAATAAAAGCAATCGCAACTTTCCGAATTTTATTGTAAAGAAAAAAAAAAGTTTCCGAGAATCAAATTGAAATTCGGGGCACACTGCATAACTTCTGATTTAAATGAGAAGATTACTGTGGGCTAAGACCCTTTCTTACTGGTTAAAGTTCTTACGAGTGATTTCAAATTTTGTGAGTTCATGAAAATAGGGTCTAATTCTAATGAAAATGGTTCTTACGAATGGTTAAATTATGCGCAAATTTAACCACAACAATAAAACTTCCTAGAATATTAAGCCTGTTCACACATCACCTCGCAAGCATAACATAAGCGGAAGAATACACCGGAAGTTTCCTAAATTTCTTCTGGTTTTAGGAAGTACATTCAGTCAACCATCCATTGCTTTGTTTGCGCAAAGTGAAATGCGATGGCAACATTCCAACTCGGCCAATTAAATTCGTTTCATCTCGTAAACAGGTAGATGCGATTCTCTCGCTATCCTTGGCATGTCTACTCACTATGTGGCTGATTCAGATCTCTTTTTTTATTATAACTAGAAGGTATAGATCTATGTTGTTTATTTAATTCGGCTAGTAGATTTTTAACCTTTATCTTAAACATTTTGTTTGAAAGGCATCTATTATGTTTTCGATGGCGAACACAATTAGATTGAGAGTTTTTATTTTTAATGGAATTTTCCCCTATAGGTACAATAAGTCTGAAGCCATCCTATAATTAGAAGGATGCGTCTGATATTTCACAAAATAACTTAAAGAAAAAGTTAGGTACATACCATAATCTTCTCCAGCTTCTTCGGTTTCGGCGATTGCATCCCTCAAAGTGATACCAGGTTCAACTTTCATCGGAATGCGCTGTCCTCCATGGAGTTCCACTGTAAATGTGACCCTAAAATAAATTTCCATTTATAAAACAAATGAGATAGGTACTTTATTTACGTCCCACTAGAGCTGCTACTAGAGATTATTTACGTCCCACTAGAGATCCGAAGACATGCTATAGTAATTTTGATCCTCTGCAGAGGGGATGGCTCCCCTGAGACACTTAACGAAAGAACAGCTTAACGAGGACCAATACCGTGCACACTTGGTCCCTACGCAGGTTGATCAAAGTGGTCCCCCACCCGCTTACTGACAGCATCCATTGATGCTTGACTTAGTTCTACTGGGAACCGTGTCTTTACGTTCAGTCCACTGCGGCAGTATAACAAATGAAGTTCACTTGAAGTATATCATTTACTGAGGGGTCGTTCAAATATTATGTAAGTACCTAATAGGGTATGTGAATGCTTATTTTTGCTGACAAAGGCGGAAGAAGTGTGCTTTCAATGCTTTCGCAAGACATTAAAATTGTGGTGGTTGGTTAAAGTTCAGGAGACTAATATTATTAGAATTTATATTATATTTTATAAACATAGAAAATACTGTAGTATGAAGAAGGTTAATCAGCACAGAGCGTCATACTATAAAGACAGCTTAGATTTTACTTTATTATAATCGCCGTTGAATAGCCACCCCAATCTTTGGGTTCACGACTAGCAATGTTCAACTCTGTAGCTTCGCAATTTTTAACTCAATCCAGAAGACAAGGGAACTCCTGGATCAAGTATTAGAAGAAATTTGCCTTCCTGGAGGTTACATGGAGAGGAAAACCACGAAAACCTTCCATGGTTAGCCTGACGACAAGGGAACTCAAACCCATGATCCGTCTACCATTGAGGATATTTTACGCCCGCACTGTTGTCGGTGCAAGCCGGATGCGAATTCGTATCAACTAGCTATCGCTGGGATTCAAACCAGGGTCACTTCATTGGAAGGCAAACGCTCTATCTCTGAGCAATCACGACTCGTCAGCTTAGATTGTTCTGGCAAATGAAAAGTGAGAGTCCAAGTTCTTGATCATAACTGTCGCGGTTACGGTTAAATTGAGCCGCCGCACACCTCTCCGCCTGTATCAGGGAACTGATACGTATCGATCAGGGAAAGTAACACGACGGCCAGATAGAGTTCGTTGTTCGGGTTTCTTTAAATTGTCCGGAGACTCCTTTGGTAGATTCTGTTCTGTTGAGGCAGGACATTGGGATCTCGTTTGGTTCGGATGAAAATATTTCAAACGCTTGGTGGATAACGTCAACAGGTAAGGTCTGTTCCTTGTCGCATATGAGAGTAAAATGTTTTTCATTTCTCCGAATGACTTTGAATAGTCCGTCATAAGGAGATTGCAAAGGTTCCCTAACTGAGTCCCCTACGCTGACAAATACGTAAGAACAAGTTTTAAGTTCAGAACGTATGAAAATTCGACGATTATCATGGTGTGATGTAGGTTAAGGTCACAAGACCTGGAATATACGTCGTAATTTACTGACAAATTCTAGTGGAGGATGACCATTCTGAGTTGGAATGAAGAAATCACCTGGTAAGCGTAAACTTTCACCATAGACTATTGCAGTTAGGGTTGCATTAATGCTCTCTTTAACCGTGGAAGGCAAACCGAGGGAAACCACTGGTAGAACTTCTGCCCAGTCTGTTGCCGCATGGCACTTTAAAGCGACTTTGAGAGGCCGATGAAAATTTTCTATCAAGCCATTGCTTTGTGGGTGGAAGCTTGTCATTCTGCAAAGTTCAATTCCAAGTAATTTCGTCAGGCTGTGGAACAATGTGGATTCGAAATTAATTCCTTTATCAGTCATGATGTAGGTTGGTATGCCAAAAAGGCAATCCATGCTGACGCCATAGTGGCTGCTTACATGCTACAGAGAAAACTTCTGGTCGACGTGTAGAACGGTCTATACACGCGAGGCAATATTGAAATTGCGGAAACAGCCCGATGAGGATGAGACCCAAATGTACACGATCGAATCTTTTTCGAAGGAATGGGTATTGATCAACCCGACTACCAGTATATTTATTAATTTCCGATCGTTCCAAGACATTCTCGAGTCCACTTCACACAGTCTTTGTTGATGAAAGGTAAAACAAATTTCGAACAGATTAGTTTAGATATAACTCGAGGGCCAGGATGTGACAATTTGTGGAAAGTATTGAAAATAGTACGACAATGAGATTGTGGAAGTACGTTTTTGCATCTGATTTAGTAACTTAAAATATCGTCTGCACTAATCAATTAGCATATTTCAGGTCACCCCCCTCGGACTATTGCGATTGAGTCTTAAAACGTGAAGATCCGATTATTAGATTAAAAATTATTTAGGGTGGTCTTTTTTTTTTAATTTTCAGCATTGTACATTGGTTGTAAAGTAAGCGGAAAAAATTCGAAATTGAGATTTTAATATTTTTGGCAACATTGCATAAATAGCTACATATTGCAAAAAATAAATTTCGAAAGTAATTTCTTAAGTGTTTTATGAAATTTTGATTCACCTTAACTCCTACTAAATTTTTTATTTGCTGACAGCAAATGTCGCAACTCCAAATAACAATTGCTACAACAACGTAACATAACGATCTATTCGAGTTGACCTTTTTGGGCAGAAATGGACTTGATGATTTTCGTATTGCAAGTAACTGACCGATGTAAAAGAATAGCCTGGTGACCCTTGTACTTAAGTTTTTGTTTTTTCATTCGTCGTTTTATTTACGTGGCATCTTGCGCCAACTAAGCACATGCGAGCAGTCCTTCCGATGAGGTTAACAGGATTCGAATGCCAGCGATGGCTGGTCGATAAGAATCCGTATTGCACCGGCTACGGTGCTCACGTGAATATCCTCAGTGGTAGACGAATCATGAGTTAGAGTACTTTTGACGTCAGGTTTAACCGTGGGAGGTTCTCGTGGTCTTCCTCACCATGTAACGCAAATATGAGTTAATTCCATCAAAAAGTTCTCTACGGAGGCAAATTTCTCCCAAGAGTACCTTTGTCTTCCGGATTGGGTTCAAAATTACAAGGCTACGGAGTTTAACATTTGTAACTGTAAACCCAAAATCGGGTCGGCTGTTCAACGACGGTTATAAAATAAAATGATTAACCTTTCGACAGCACCATTGAGGTAAATTTATGACAAACATACAGTATTTCTATATCTTCAAACAATCCTCTAGACATAACTGAACCAGCCACTACAGAAGAATGAACAAACATTTTCTCAAAATCTCTCTCTAGAGACGAATAAACTCCCAAACAATAAGCTTCAAAAATTACCAATCAGTATAATTGAACAAATTCCGGTGTCAAAATTAAATATTCCCCTCAGCAATGGAAACACGAACAGGTCATACCTTTTCCCAAGCAAAGGTAAAAAGCACTTAAATCCAGAAAGTTACAGGGCTTACTAACTGCCTTCTCTAAAACATGCAAAAATATCATCGATTTGCAGGTCTTTCCTAAACTTTTTCCCAGATTCGGTCTTCGCTTATCCAACACTAAACAACTAGCTATAAAACATCACTCAAGTTTTTTACGACAAAGAAACTAGGTGCTAGATGTGGACAAATCTTTTGACTCCATTTACAAGCTAATTTTATAACTCCTGTTGAACAGCAGTGTTTCTCTCTTGTACCTTCAAGAAATGCAAAGGTTTCAAGTTTCATTAAAAGTATTTATTAAACATAAACATTATCAAAATAAGACAGCAACCTCTCAGGCCAGAACAGAGCAAGTACTGAGACTGAACCTAAACATCAATGCATCAATAACGTCACAGTTACAATCACAGTTAAAACACATATGTGACACCCCTCCTTGAAGTTCTTGAAATTCAGTCAGAATAAAATTAATGATATACATTTTAAAAGTTCACTCACAAATTAAACACAATACTACTAGTTGCATATAAAATCATTTAAATAGTGAGGTCTAATGACCCTTCTTCCAGATCTTGTTCTATACGAACTGTCTGAGTTATTTCTCTGAGGCCCTACCAAAACATTTGCTCCATCAGAACCAGAATTATCAGGAAATTCAAAGTCCGGAACTACTGCAGACTTAAATTTAATCATAGTAGGTCTTAAATGTATGCGGTTCCTTACCAGCGTTTTATCTGAATTTGTTTTAATAATATAAGATCTAGGATTTTTATGTTTCTCTATAACCCGGGCAGGTTCCCAAACACGTTTATTGAAATTATAAGCTGTCACTACATCACCGACTTTTAGTGGTTTGAGCTTTTGCGCACCCCTGTCATAATAACGTTTCTGCCGATCCTGTTTTTGCCCAAGCTGTTTCTCAATGTTTTTAAAAACTTCAACATTTAACAATTTGTTGTGAATTGGAATTTTAGTTCTTAATCTGCGCCCATATAGTAGCTGAGCAGGAGATACATTTAGCCCTGAAATAGGAGTGTTCCTATATTCCATAATTGCAACTACCCATTCTTTTCGATCTTCAAATGCTTTTTTTAAAATGGCTTTTACAATACCAACAGCACTCTCAGCCATGCCGTTGCTTTTAGGATATCGTGGGCTTGCAAAAATACACTCAAAATCCCATTCTTTTGCGAAGCTCTTAAATTCATAACTATTAAAGGGACTGTTATCACTTACTACAATTGATGGAATTCCATATCGCGAAAAACAAGATTTTAGTTTTTTACTAATTTCAGCAATTGTTTTACTACCTAGCCTAATCACCTCAATCCATTTAGAGTAATAACATACTACAACTAAATAACTTACATTTTGAAAGTCCAATATATCTATCGCTATTTTTTCAAAAGGCTTAGTAGGTAATGAATGAGATATTAAAGGTTCTTTAACGTTAGACTTTTGAAATTTTTGACAAATTTCACATTTTAAAACTAGCNTTAAATTCAACATCTGACAAGCTTTCAGACCCAAAATAGGTTTTGATGTTACATCGATAACAATAAATTTCAAAAACACTTCATCTCTACCATGTACACATTTCAAATCAATTTCACCTTTTGGTGTTA